TAGGAGCCGATTTTACGAAATTGGTTTAGATATTAAATGGAGTTTGAAGAATGAATCTTGTAACGAATTGTGACTAACATACATAATTAATTTTAATTTAATTGTTGAGAAACGTTTAACAATATCTTTATGGTATAAAGCTACTATAATTATCATTTCAAATATTAACGATTAAAAACGATAATTCTCGACATTGTCTAATGTTAAAACCTTGAAATATTGTTTACTTATGTACAAATATTGACGAACTATAAGTACATATTAATATTTTAGAAGAATCACTAGTGTTATTAATAAAAACTGAGAGAAGGAAATATTAATGTCCTGGTAGGATTCTTCTACCTCGAGCTGCAAAATGACATTAGTTGTTCTAGCTCCAAAGTATTGATGTTATCGTGACCTACTATCCTATTTCCTTTGCAGAATACTGCGCATGCATTTTAACAAGCGACAGTATTTTAACAAGCAACATTACGATGAACGTCTTTTACCGCATCTTTCGATAACAGATATATCTGTGTTATTCGTAACATATATTTATGCGCGCACGACAAATCGAAATGTATGCGAACCAAACGTAAAATATGAAACATGTAAGTATTATACTGTTACAAAGAGATTTTAAATTTATTGGCTTTCTTTTCTATTTTCGATATTCGTAGATTTACTTGTAACTATTTCAAGACCTCTGAATAATGGAAGTATTTCATCGATCATATTACAAAACACAAGATAAATTTATTAAATTATATTTTATTATATTATACACAAACAGATGACAAAAAGATATAGAGAAAAGAAATTCTCTTGACAGATTAGCTTACTTTTTATCTTTTATCATTCATGCTATTTGTTGTAATAAAAATATTGAATTTTGCGTTTGCATGTAATATTTTGTGTGTAATTAAAATAATCTGATAAATTAAAATATATATACGATTTAAATTAAAATGATTTAACATAAACAGTATATTTTGCACGAAACAAAAATAATAATTATTACTGAATTATATATAAAGTAATCTCATTTGTAATTCATTTGCTTGAGTCTTTATACCGCATATTCCATGATAAATAAAGTGTCAACTGGAGTACGCCGCGCTTAAATTGGGACAAACTGAAGACATTAACTCGTAATATAAAAACAACACAGCGTATAACTCCGAAGTAGACCGTGCATCACGTAAACGAGAATCATGAATACATAATTCATATTGCTGTCTACCACCTGATCATTTGTTTGATTTTTCCACAAACCGCTATTACTCTACCATACCCGAGAAATATAATTTCTACTATAAATTCCTACCATTATATTTCTACGTTTCATTTATGTGCGAGCTGCATTAAGAACTATCGGACAAAGTCCAGTTTAAAAAGTTCTTGCTGCTAATGCGTGTCGGACGATGTATGCGAGCGATGTATGCGCACAGTCAATGAGATAAAAAGTTGGCGATCAGCTTAAATATTCGAGGAGTTTTTGGCTTCTAAACAAGTATCTAACATGGATATCTGTCTTTACTATTCACGTGACAGCGCCAAAAAAATCAAAGCTGATATACCACAAAGAAACAGTTTTATGTTGCCCGCAAGCGTAACGAGTTCTCGCGCAAGAAAGCTAAAACTTAATATAATCGAGTAAAAATGTTTGAATATGAAATGTGACGTTAATGAGAAGGTTGTAGAGACAGTTATCGTTAACTCAAGCGGTAGAAAAATAGCATTATGTAGCAGGAATGATTTATTATGATCTTCTTGCGAAAGTAATATCTCTAAGCGAAGTAATGTAGAGCGAAGTAATGTCGCATCTTTATAATTTCTTGCGCCTACTAAAATAAAGCTGGAAATTGCTTCTAATCTCGTGCGACCCGAGGTCGTGACAAGTTTAATTTCAATAGCGCCAGCGCGTGTCGCGATCAGGTGCCAAAAATTATACTAAAGATGGTTTATGTCGTCAAACTTCCACGAATATGTGCGACCAAAATTTATATCGCTCAATTAGCATATGAATCGTATCTCGATAATCACGATGGTACTTGATCTTATCTAGAATTACACGAAAGCCATTGTCAGCATTTTAATATCGTTCAAAAACGTATAAATCTTGTCACTTCCATAAGAATATAGCAAGCACTGTCTCTCGAAACATAACTAATATTTTAAAATATTCTGTATTTAACATTTACCTAATTTTAGCAATCAGTACTATATTTAACACTTTTGCATAATTTTTCATAAAAATTTAATTAATTGATGGATTACACTATTCCGTAAAAAAATATATGTTCTTCTTTAACGTTTGCAACACACTAATTATTTCAACTAAATCTTATTCAAATTTATAAAAAGCAATCTTATACTTTTTTTATTTTCTGTTTTGTTTTCTATTTTACATTTTAAGCTTACATTTTGCAAGTGAAAATTGGAAAGTAAGATTCGAAAAAGCAAAAATAATTATCATCAATTTATATATTGCAGAAATAAATTCAGAAAATAAAGATTAGTTCCTCCACAGTTTTGCAACAAATTTGGCGTCGGTTCAGTTATAACGAATCTTCTTTATGACATTATCATTATGGCATAACGCAAACTCTGTTACCGGAGCTGTGAAACAGACTTCATTAAAGGGACTATAATGTAAAATGTTACAGAGTAGATATGTTGACCAGTGAGAAAGTTTCGCACAATATTCGGTCGCATAGTCTTTGTTATGAAGTGATAATGATTAACATCTCTCCTATAAAGTGAGAGAATTAAAAATTGTTCGTCAAACGCGATTATTTTTTAACAATTTAATCTATTGCGCTTCGAAAAAAATTTGCAATTAAAGAATTAAAGTCGACAAACTGCAGTTTAGAATCAAAGGAAGAATCGACTTTTGCACAGTTTATGATTTCAGATCGCAATTTATAAGTTATAATCTGATTACTAAACAAGCAAGAGTTACGAACTATTTAATATACAGAATATTAAAGTTTCATTATTATATTTATCAAATGAATCTCACTATCGGTGAGTTTTGTTATTAGTTGCGATTGAAATCCGAGATCGGAGATATAGCGGAGTTTCTCTTATTTGCAGCCAGAATTGTAATTGCTCAAACTTTGCGATTCGATCTTGCATGATCAACTGCAATCTGTCGTCTGACTCGGCAAGCAGGCCAAGTTTGCACAAGGACGTAATATCGATATCTTTACGTCAATGAAAAATGCGGGACAAGCACAAAATCCAATAATCTCGCTCTTTCGAGTTTTATCCCCAAATTCATTCTTCTTCAGCGAGCGGCAGAATTACGAGAGTCATATTGTTTCCTCATCGTAACCCCTGAAAACTATTCTAACATAACATCGCGAGCGTAAATCGTACCGTCGCTACATCTTCCCGATTTATACTCCCGATAGGACGCGAGCCCCTTACGGGCTGGCTATAAAATTTGAATAAAGCTATTCGTAAATTGGGCGCAGCCTTCTCGCCCGACTTAACGTAGTTAGGAGCGTGAGCTAGGGTGCAAGAAGTATTCTCCGAGGGTATAAAAAGAAGATGGCCGAAGGGTAGCTATTCGAGGAACAAATTTGCTCGCATTCCTAGGGCCTTTCGAAGAATCCGATTGGGGATTGGCAGGAAAAAAAACCTAGATTAGACATAATGGCGAGGAAAACACACTTCGGGGATGGAACACGCACTGCGTAGAAATCACCCCTCTACTTCGAGACCAACGCCGTGTCTGGTTCCACGAACGAAAACTGGGTCACCGGCCACGTACCGACTCTTGTACGAGCTCGAGGCTAGAAATCTCGTGTGGGCGCACGCGCGCGTACACGTGTAAGTGGCCGCGAGTCTACGTGTATACACGTTTCGCTAACAGTTCTCACCCTGTGGCACGTCCGGGACGCGCGACGCCAATTTTCGTGTTCCGGTGAAGGATATCGCGCCGCATGGTACGAACGGGAACAAGTCTCCGACGAAATTTTTGCCGTCGTATCATTCGATAGAGTTAGATCAAGATCGAACTTTGAAACTGAATCAGATTTAAAGGACAATTTAATGCCGACCCAAATTTTCGGTAATGGCGTATCGTGACTGGCACGAATCCGCGCGGAACAGTTTTAATTTGTATTCTCTCTCAACGCTCTTATCGGATTTTCCTTGAAATCATTTTTCCGGCGTACGATCTATTTAGCCGAATCAGTATTTATTTCCTAGAAGTGCGATTACGGAAATTTAATAATATTATGACGGAAAAGTATTATCAAATTTGATAAATGTAATTTTGCTGCAATAAGCTTCGAATTCGAATTAAATTTTTAATCAAAATTTTACTTGTAATTACATTAACAGTTGGAAATTTAAAATACATAATTTAGAAATTAATATTAAATTCTTATAAATGCTAACGGATATAAACATTATTCTACATATGAGAAAATTCCTTTTTATATTTGTCTTTTAATAGTTCACTCAAAAATAATATTTTTATGTACAGAAGGAGAACCTGTTGTTCTTCTGTGACGTATTGTGTTCCATTAAAATTCAACATAAAGAATCGAGAGAGAAAATATGGTAGAGCTCGAAATTAAGATATCTGTGAGATACACAGGTGATAATAAGAAAGAATAATAAGAAACAGAAAACAAATATAATATATGTACTAAATTTTTGAAAAATTCAAATAAAAAATATTATATATATATTTTTCCACGGATTTTTATATATAATAAATTATTATTTTAATGATATTGTAATTATTATTAATTCAATACCGCAGTAATCTCTAATAAAGTTCATTCAGGAATGAAGAATACATGTACAACATATGTAGGTCACGCCACTGTGTAAAAATCAATTTACCTTTAAAATCGATAATTTTAAAAACATGATAAATATTACGTAGCATAATATATGCCAAGTACTTCTATCGTTGCTACCTCGTACGTCGAGAACGGCTTTAACGCGCAGGAGATAGCTTAGTAATCGTAACAGGATAAAAACTGCACACTCACCAGGATACGTCCAGTGGTGGTCTGTCCGGAAATCAGCTCGCCGGCCCAGTCCTTGGCCTCGGTCATAAAAGTCCCCTCGAACTCCTTGCCCTGGCGGGCCGTCTTCTGTTCCTTCTGCTTCGGGTCATTTGGAGATAGTTCGGGCTCCTTGCGACAGCAGAGGAAGGCGAACGCACGCCAGAGGAGCACGATCAGCAGCCCGGCGAGGAAGGTGAAGATGCTCGACAGCAGGAAGCACCACCATTTCCGCTCCTTGAGGCAGTCGTCTACCGGGGGCTGCTCGGTCGTCCCTTCGGTCGTCATCCCGGCGGATCTCTGCTGCCCCCGGATCACACATTCACCGGCGGCTATCACAATCAACGGCAGCTGCGGCAGCTAGTAGGGCGCACTTTATACGCTTCATAATTTCGCGCCGCCTCCGGGGGTGCGCGACGCGCTACAAGGACCCGTGCACGGTCCGCTTTCGCGTCCTCGCGGCACCAGTAACCACGAGCTTTTGTCAGCGCGCGCTGGCTGGAGAACCGAAATCTTTCTTTTTCTCTCTTTTTCTCTCCTCTCTTCTGCCACGCACACCCGCTGGCGCTCCGAATCTGTCCTTCTCTCTATCTCTATCTCTCTCCCCCTCTTTCTCTCTCTCTCTCTCTCTCTCTCCTCCTCTCTCTCTCTCTCCCTCTCTCTCTTTCTCTCTCTCTCTCTCTCGCGCGCACTCTCACCCTCTCAATCTCTCTTTCACCCCCTCTCGCACTCTCCCTTTTTGTTCTCTCACTCTCTTACGCTCGTTTCTCCGAGTTTCTTTTATATGTCTGTATCCACTTGCTCCGAAAATGCTTCCTTCTTTCGTAAGCGCCTTCCTCCGAGGATCACTCAGTCACAGCGATCACTGTCGTCCTGGCGACGCATAGTCCGACCGAGAATACGTTCTCCTCCACGAGTTTAGTCAGATATAGACGCGTGTCGATATTTCCGTTGAGTACACGAGCACCACCAATCCAAATTTGACGTTCTCGTCCTTGGCGAACGCACTACGTTTCCTGTTCCAGTTATCAGTAATCAGCCGTGGATCCGTCCTTTTGGCGAAAAATCGCACCGCGATTTATCCTCACCAAGCTCGGCGGCAGCTACTGCCGCCGCCGTTGATTCCGCAGGTATCGGTTCCAATCGGAGAAAGAGAATCGGAGCAACAGAAAACAATAGGAAAAAAACAACCCACTGACACCACTGTCGCGTATTACATACGCGCGCGTGTACGAGTACACAAATATGCACGACGGATGCTTTCGTTTGTAGACTTATATCTTTTTCCGTTTTACTTTTCCTTTTTTATAATATAATTGTGCATTATGTGTTCTTATATTTATTTATGTAGACTTATATCTTTTTCCGTTTTACTTTTCCTTTTTTATAATATAATTGTGCATATAGAATGTGGATGTAATAAACACGGCTCGCGAGCGCGTACGCGATGAAACGCGAGGAAATCACGCGACTACGATGCGGACTATTTTTCTCTATCTGTGGCCGCACGCCCGCTCCTCTTAACCTAATCGGCTGAGCACCACCGACGGCCACGACGACGACGACGACGACGAGGACGACCGAGTGTCCCGACGACCATACCACTGCTCCGCAGCAATCAATACGCAACAATGGACCGGGACCAATAAGCTCGGAGCTTTTCCTGACGTAGACGCACGCTCTCTCGCAAGCTCACCTCCCACCACATTTGCGAGCGACGGCGCCGCGCATTTCGTGGCCGCGGCTGCGCTAAAACGGGCATAACTACTTACGTAGGTTTACGTTGTTGCTTAGAGCACGACGAGATATGCGCGCGACCAAGCGCGCGGGATTATTTAATTAAATTCCGCATTGTCCACATTTGTGCAAATAATTCTACTAGTTTCTAGTACACCCAAACTCTTGCCTTGAGTTGATGTTGAAATTATATAAACAAATGTTTATCACAAAATGTGTAAATTAGCATTTTAATAATAGAAAATTGATTGCGCATAACTAAATTATTTTTGCTATTACAATGTTTTTATGTAAATTAATTAAAAACTTATTTTTGAGTCGGCATACAGCGCGTGCACATTGATATATAAAGATAGAAAAATTAATACACTGATAAAGAGAATAATAAATGTTACGCGACTTGTCTATATATAATATATAAAGATAGCAATATATATTATTTTAAAACGAGGATTATCTTTGAATAAACGATGAAGGTTTTAAATTTTATTTACGCACGTATGTGCATTTGCACATGCTGCATGCTGATATAAAAATTAATTTTTAATCAATTTATATGAAAATATTGTAGTAACAACAATAACTTGAAATCAGCTATACTAATTGTAATGAATTTTTTTTATTATTTAAATGTTAATATACATATTCAGTTCTAAATAATTGGAATTTTAATTATTTTGTTAAATTAAGTAAATTTATGTTCTCAAATTAATTTTCTTTATAGAAAACACTATTTTAAATGTTATTTTCTACTAATTCTATTTTTTAACTTTTATGAATATCTTTTAATATAAATCAATATATAAAATTATTAAGAATGTTATTATAGATGTAACTGATTTATTTTTATGAAAACATTTACTCTATATATTTTACAAAATTTTTTAAAATTTAACTTTGACAATAAATATTTTGACATTAGAGACCTGCGTTAGCGACATTTTAGTAGCTCAAGTAAAACTCAGTCGCTGCTGGTAGATGGCATATGCTATCAGCTAGCCGGAGTAAAGAAAAGCCTGAGACCTGCTATCCCTCCACGGGATAGCTTATTGATTCTTGATTGATACTGCTATCTGCATTTATTTCAGACTTGAAACTACATAGTCAAATTTCTTTTTCTACACTGCCGACAAACAATACTGCTATTTTGTGCTATATACAACATGTGCTACATTCACAAATTGTGAATTATGAGAATAAAAACAGTGTACATATTTAATCACATAACACAGTGCAATATAATTCTAATTATAAAATAAATACATATGCCTTGCAACTAATAAATAAAATAAAAAAGTACTTATCGTTATTAAATGTAAATCACTGTGATGCTGATTAATCATGCAAACTTTATCAATGCAAATTTTGCTGTGATGTCTTACAAATAGAAATAGATTTATTTTTTTATATACGATTTTTAAATTTAATTATGTTTTAATTTTACATATATAAAAATCGGTTATCAGAGACATACATTCGCATTGATTTAAATTCAACCGTGCGTTTATTTCTATATAGGTAAGTGTATGTAGACGCATATGAGGACGATTGTGGAGGTATCTATGTAAAAATTACCGTTAAATTAGATTGTTCAGATTTTTCAAGGCTTCAGTAAGCAAATCGCGAAACCCGCTAACGGACACCTCACCGCAGAATTTCTCTGTTCGTCGACGAGGTGAGTAGTATACTTCGATTCATTCCACAATATATTTTTCACAGTTTCTAGTCAATTAAACAATTGTAATGCGATTGCAAATCGATCTGAGCATAAAACAATTCTAAAATTGTTACTGTTATTATATAACGGAGAATTAGTTAGATATAAGAAATTGCAAATTGTAGAAGAAGTCTGAAGAAACACTCTGTATATTTTACATTATTTTTAAATCTATTCTTTTAATAATATTAAAATAAAACAAATTAACCGACGCGATACGCAACAACGGAATTGTTTACAAGTTTATCTGTAAAATACAAAGTACATTCAAATTATAACAGCGTTTAAAATAGTTATTTAACAAATAATTATTTATGTACATAAACTTTTACTCGTTTTTTTAATGCAAATATTTAATAAAAGAATCGAATATTTTTACTTAATAACTATAAATATTAAAAGTTGTAACTTTTTACTGAATATTTTAAAGTTTCTATGTGCATAATATTACATAATAATATTTTACGTGAAATATTTTGTAAATAATAAATAACAAATGAATAATTACTTACCTTAAAGCTGCTTCGCCGACACCCGACGTTTTTCCTGAGTTTCTTCCTCTTCTCAATTTTTCTTACAGTCCTTTAAGGCACTCACACACATTTTCGACGCGAATATGATAAATTGTATGATGTTTTAAACGGCACTCCTGATACGTACTTTATCATTCGGACAAAGTGAAACGGAAATATCGTCGTACGGATTACGCATTCGACACTGCCGCGTCCGTAACAAGTAACGATAAAAAGAATGAGATTGAAAATTACAGGAAATAATAAGGATAGCATTATTGAGGAGGATAACGCGCTAATATGGAACAATTTGCTCTGTACGAGGTGTCGCCGTGCAAACCATAAAAGTGTAATAAACATATCAAGGATAAAGTCGTGCCAATTCCGATTTCGATTTGGACCTTGATATATTTTTTGCATCCTTATTATGCGCACATTGACATCTCGTACAAGGTAGATCGTTCCGCGAGATGTCCTTTCCAATAGTGCTTTATCATTTCTCATAGTTTTTTATTTTACTCTATCCATCGTTTGTTATACGGACGCGGTAGTGTTGAGCGTGTAATCCGTGCGATGATATTTGAGTTTTATTTTGTCCGAATGATAAAGTTTGCGTCAAAAGTTTCGTTTAAAATATCGTGCGATTTTCGTATTTGTGTCGTGAACCCACATGAGTGCTTTGAAGGACTGCAAAAAGGACTGAGAAGAAGAGGAGATTCAGGAAGAATACCGGGCGGAACAATTTTAAAATAAGAATTGCTTTAAATCAATAAAGTCCATTTTTTATGATAAAATGTGTGATGTTGGGAGTCCTAGCAAAAATCCTGTTGCTATAATTTGCTTCCTGTTATTAAATTGATAAATATGTAATAATATGGGGTCAGTGGAATGTGAATCTTAGATCAATAAAATCAAGAGCTTTTATTTTATGTTTAATTAACGAAAGAAATGATTTATTACAGATGTATTTCGATATAAGAATCACGCAATCGTGCGTCACGTCTACTTAATCGTTATTTACTTCTCGGACTCTATTTTTCTCGCTATCGCGCATCAAAACAACTACTCGGCTCAATCACGACTTTCTGTCCGATCGAACCTTGAGTTTGATCCACCTGCCAAAATAATAGCACATAAACATGTATCAAAAGTACAATATACCGATGGCTAACGGAAAACGCGTTTCTACAATAAAATATATTTTCTAGCGTAAAAGACACAATTATAGAGGCTAGACGACATCACTTATAATATGTTTGTATTATAACATTTTTCATAATGCACGTGTTAAAGAACATAAATGAAAAGACGTACAATGGATAATTTAAAGTCAGATAAGATTTAAAAAAGTTTTCACTGAAAAAAGTTACATCTGCAACTTTTGTAAACATATCAAAATACATATTGGATTGTGCAATAAATAATTTTGGATTTTTTAAATAAATCAGTTTTAAAATAAATCTATTTTTTGTCGGGCAATACGCTGTTTTGATTCACGTAAATTAAATATTTGTTTGTAGAAGTTGTAATTAAATTTCACCATATCACAATGTTTTTACATTGCGTAAAAATTTACTGCGTAAAAAACATTAACATCATTATTGGAAAATACAAAATTACATATTATACAAATAGAATTTTTTTTTATTTTTATGTTATCCATATACATATGTGTGTGTTTTTGTTGATTACAATAATATCAAATTAATATCACGAGCAGGCGCCGCGGTATTTTTCATCTGAAGGGGCAAAATTTATAAAGGGGATACATAATACATTTATAATATATATATGTATATGTATGTAACTCTATTTAAACACCATATAATAGGCCACTCAGTGGGTGGGTTAAATGTGCGAAAAATATGCACAGATTTTTTGCTCTAATTAACTTAATGCGCTTAATTTTCTTCGTTATATAGTGTACTTCAATTAAACGAGTAAATAGTCAAAAAAAAGGAAAAAGAAAAAAAAGAAGAAAGAAAGAAAAGAAAAATAACTCATTTTTCCACCTTTGATGTAAATATTTAATGCTCAATATTTTCGGTCATGAAATCTGAAGAAAACAGAATAATTTCAAGGGGGCGTAGCCCCCCTGAATTATCTCTACGTGGTCACCCTCTCTGCCCCCCCCCTCCCCATTTCCGCGGCGCCTGATCACGGGAATATCCTGTTAAGAGGACAATCTTGTACTTCCCCGCCGATGACAGCATTTTATCTTATCGTGTAATATATAAAAGCATGTGTCTCTTAATTTGAAACATTTGTTTCTGAGTCGCACTGTTAGCATAATAACTTAATAATTATGTGGCAATATACGTTGGTGATGTTTTTGTATATAACAACAACATATTGTAAGGCATCCAAAGTCTCAGAAACTGATACGGTGATTAATACAGGTAAATCAATAAAAAAATAATTGCAATATTTTATTTTGATAGTTTAACGAAAATTGAGATTGCGCATAAATGTTTATACCGACAATTTAATTCTGTCATTATATTGGATATTGAATCAAATATCTTTTTTTCATTATATTGTGTTTCTTTTCTTTGTTTAATAAATTTAAAAATATTGAACCGTATAATATAGAAATATTTTTTTAATTGGTTAATTATTAAAAAAATGTATTAATTATAATTACTGCTATAATATTTTGTTAAACAGATTCCTCAGCATGTCACTTTTATTAAAGAACTAAAGAGAAGTAACTGTTTTATAAATTTATTAAAATTAACTATTAAATATTCTAATATATAAATATATTCCAATTTGCTGTAAAATATAAATACTTTTCTACAGCTTCAGGCAAATTATTAGGAATAAATGGAAATTTGACTCCACAACAAATTATTTACGTCTATGGTCCGCAACAATGGAAAACACAAAATGGTGTCAATCTCATAGAAAAAGCAGAAAACGATTTTCTCATCACACCTGGCATTGGTGCTCATAAATTTCATAATCGCAAATTGCCATGGTACAAGGCTCGTAAAATTTGCATCCAAGAAGGAGGTGAGTTCTTAACAGAAATTACATTGAATGTCTCATTTCTACAACTAACAACGTTTTTAACATCAATAATACTTACTATAAATTGCCAAAAGTATATGGAAGGTTCGATTAAATTAGATGCGCAAAAATGAACACAAATAAGTGTTACTCACGTTTTTGTGTCATTAATAGTTAATTTCTAAGAATTAATATTAATTCTTAGAAATTAACTATTAACGAATTAATATTAATTCTTAATAACAGTAAAATCGCCTAACTTTATCGGTTTAACGTGAATTGACCTGTCAACGTAGGTCACTTGGCTATCATTAACTCCAATTCAGAGGAAAAAATTCTGCTTCGCTTGTTGGATGAGAATAAAGAAACTCAGGGATGGCTTGGTATACACGATATATACGATGAGGGCGATTGGAGCACAATTATGGATGAACCGTTGGAAACTGCAGGTTATTCAAAGTGGATACCTAATCAGCCTGACAATTATAACGGGGAACAGCATTGCGGAATCCTTGTAAAGGACGGTGGAATAGATGATCTCGAGTGCTCCACGGCAAACGTTTTCTTCTGCGAAATTAACTTCTGAATCAGCGAATCCTCATAAATCATAAATATGAGATCGTAATCGAACACTATAACATGTTTCGTAGTATTGTTCATCTCTGAAAATAATTAGCAGTATAAAAAAATCTTATAATCTCTTTCGTCGCGATATTAATCTACTTCATTCATCATGAAATACAATTGACATATTTCCATTGTTACTGAAGTTGTATCGCATACCGTTACGATTTATTAAAGATTATAATTAATAGATGATTATACGCTATGTTATTAAGATTAAAATTAATAATTTTTAATGACAATGCAAACGTGTAAATTGTGTGTTTGTGATTAATCGAGTTAATAAATTAATATTGCGATGAAAGAAATGAGGTCACAAGATTTATTTTTATACTAACGATTATTTCTAAGAACGTTGAATATTATCATAAAATATATATATAAAGTATATTAAAAAACAACGTTAAAAAACTAGATCATCATTAAATAAAAATAAACAAAATAGAAATGTACATAGATAATTACAAAATATAAAAAATTAATTCTTTAAAATTAATATGTTTCTATCTTTCAAATTGAAGGAATAAATTAAAAAAGAAAGATAATACATCTCGTTGTCTTCATTATTGAGGACCGAAAAGCAGAAGAATCAAAGAGAGATTTAATTGCGATTTAAAGATTAAAGGACATTTTATTATTTTTATAACTCGGTTCAATAACCCAGGTATGCAAATATACTGCATAAATTTAACTAGCCATATACTTCTTCTATATTTGTCATTACGTTCTTATTTGACGCGATCATTCATGTCAAATGACTCTGATCGATTTGCACTCGTGTTTCACGAACGATATATTGCAGTTTACTGTGATGACCTCTCGGATACTTTCGCGAGATCGTGTTTCCTCTTTCCCTCATTCTCGATGAGACATCGCGTTCGCGTTACAGGTAGTACACCCGATAGCGCTTTCTCAGCCGTCTTATTGATTTTCCCGTGGAGGCGCACGCGCTATTCCGCTCCCGATTGCGACAAGGGGGGTGCGGCTGTAACCATGGATCCCAGTGTACTCGCCACCATGGACAAGGACGCACTGAAGAAGCAGATCGAGAACATGAAGTACCAGGCGTCCATGGAACGGTGGCCCCTGTCAAAAAGCATCGCGGCGTAAGTGCATTGCGGCACCAGCCGAATCGTCACTTGCACCCGTTTAGCTGTTTATCGTTGTTCCTGCTTGCATATTATTTGCGAACTCCTCTGAGTATCTAGTAAGACGTCGACCATTCTCTCGTCAGAGATGTCCTAGAAATCTTGCAATTTCCACTGATCATGGATTCATCGGCGAATTTAAAATAAAGTTGTTGTCAGATATTGAAAATTAGACTGGGTTTTATTATTTTATTGTAGACTTTATATTATTTTAGACTTTTTTATTATTATATTTATGATACCGTTACATTTGAATCTTAAATTAATTTTTTTATTTATTAATAATTATTTAAAATGTATTGTTTATGTATATATATTAATCTTGTTGATATTATTATAATATTGTATATATTTATTTATTATAATTGCCGATAGCATGTGCATATGTATTGATATGTATCCTTAATATTTGGCTTGAAGATCACCTTAATGTTATATTTATTTATAAAACACCACAACTCAATTTTCCTTTAAGTGCATTTTATTGTGATTTATTTTAATCCCTCAAAAAATAATTGCTATTTATTTTTAATATAATTTAAGTGCGCACAATAAACAAGAAACATCATTATGAAGCAACCTCATTAAATTTCGTTAAATAATCTCGAAGTAGTTTGCATTTAGTTTTTATAGCATGAGTGTCGACTTGGTACAAGTTTCTTGGAACATTTTAAATATTTATGTATAAGATACATTACGCGAAAGCTATTTAATAGTGGTAGTTCCTAGTTCCTTAATAATCGACAATGTAATTTTCACTGGTGCGTAATCATAAAATTCTTCGCAAGTAAATGGATTCGTGTATAAACCTACGTAATGTTATAACCATGTAGTTATTCAAGGTTCAATTATACCTGCTTCAACAAATCATTCACCTCGATAGAAAATAATGTTAATAAAATTAAAAAAAAGTATTTAATTTTTACATACTAACACAATTTTGCTTAATTACGTGAAAAAATTTGACAAAAAATACGGCATTTAAAAATATTTGTAGCGAACATTTTATTAATATTACAATTGTCTTTCCAAATTTAAAAAATAAAAGAAACGCGATGTGCATTTATAACACACATTTGGCTATTATACACACAAATAGACAATATTTTATCAATAATAAAATTAAAATATTGTTTTACATTTATTAATTAATTATATTTGTCAAAGAATTATTCCTTTAATAAGTACACAATTTTTATTCTTACACGCAAAATGACAATAAATTACCTGTCAAAATTAAAATTATGTAAACTGAAACACACTTCTGATTATGACGTTAGTGTGTTCCGGTGTAGCACTGCTCTCGATCGCGTATAACTCGAAGCTGAATAAGTCCTCTCCTTTCCCAGATAAGTCATCTCACACATCTACGAAGCAATATATAATGTGTGGTCGCAGTCGCGCAGACTGCCGACACAGTCAAGGCTGAATTATGCTCGTGTCCCCGTATTATATGGAGGGACAGGATCTCCTTGGACAGTGCGCGCCCGCGTTAATCGCATTTTCGCGGCACGATCACTTTCAGAAAGACACATAGTATGAAACGCAAATATATGCGCGACGCGATACGAGGACAGCAAATCTAAGGCGGGAACGATTACGATGACTCAAAGCAACGATAATTGATGATCTAATTAGGCCGCGGCAGTCCCGATCGCGGCGATCGGTCTCTTAGCTTCGCGATTTTCTCACGCATAAACGAAAGGATGTAAAAAGAAAAGATAAAAACGTACAAGGATTATTTTTATATTTGCGACAGTTCGACGAGCAGTGCATCCTTCGTGTGTCGTGTTTCGGCTCACGATTACCGAATTATTGCGAGATTAAAATAAATAAATTGGCCGCAATCGGACAAAAAGCGAGCATCTCTAATCACTTGCGCCATGGCGTTTCGCAAGATCCGTCATTACATCAGCGCGACGAAAGGAAAGAGAAGGATCAGGAAGCGGGTGGAAACGTATTGTATTATCGGGGCGCGAGATTAGGTCGATCGGCGAGGGATAAAAAGAAAGGATGGCGAGGAAACGCGGAGGGACGGGAGCCGCTGCCTTTCACCGATCCGAGAAGTCTCTCGAGACCGCGGAAACTTTTTGCTTTCGCGCGCGATTCGCCTCGAAAATCGCGGCGGGAACCGGCCGTCGCGCCGTTAAAACGCGTACGGTTCCGCTTCGTTCCGCAAGCGGGAGCACACGCCGGAACACAGGTCGGCGCCTACTTCCCGCACGGGAAGTATTGGATCGTTCATTAGCGATGCGACACGACGGCTTCTCGTTAACAGTCGAATTCCGGTTTAATTAAGAAATCGAACCCGGCCGAGCCCAGCAGGACGGATCAAAATTGCCACGCGCAAAATATAGACGCCGGCTGGCGGCGGCGTTTTCTCGGTTCCTGAATTTAGGATGACCTCCTTTAAACTCGGCTGTACTCAACGCCTCTTGCCTGTTGCATTCATCGGTATGCAATGTGGGTCGTATTCTTCCGTTACGCTCTTATTTTCACAACACGTTATGGCGATCTTAATTAATTTGCAATACGTTGTAATTAAGATTTATTAAAGTTAATTACACTAAAATTATAAATGTAAACATTTTATATTAAAATTAACTTAATGGATAAGCTTTCATTTATACGTTAATAAAATTAAGCTTTTATGTAAAAAAGGAAAATTGTAGCCACTGCTTATCGTATTTTTTATTGCAGTTTTAAAATTAAATATACCTCGGCAATTGAATTTATATGTAAGTAGAATTTGAAGAGAAAAAATATCGTGTTTTATTTTAATTGAATATATATTTTTTTGGAATTTTATTTTAAAACTAGCAATGTCGTAAAATCAGACAATTTTTATTGTATCAAAAATTATATATTTATTAATCCAAAACTAATCAGTTTTAAGGAATATAAAGATTGTGTTGTTAACATGGGTGCCTCTTTCTGAGAATTTCACGGCGTAAATATAATATTGACAGCGTAAATGTTTAGTGGGACTGGAAATACTGGAATATCCCCGATATTTTTGTCAACCGGTAGTTTCACTCAATCTTCGTGCGTTAAATTGTGACATCCATTGGGCAGGCTATAAAGATAGACACGAAAGTGAGACAAACCATGATTTCGAGCGTGAACTGAACAGAATCGCATTTATTCCTGCGACAGATTTGCTCGACGGCACTTATTTGACATCGCGGTGGGGATCGCTCCGATTCCGACGACTGTCGTTCATTATATAAACGACAGCCGATAAATAATAGGCATCGCAGAATCGTGAATCGGTTACATTACGACACGGGTGCCGAGGAAGGTCGTTCACCCTCGTTTAAAAATTGCGCGACGGACCCTGATAAGTGAAAGTTCGCGATTCCCGCACGAACTCTGATAAATCAATACCAATCAAGCACGAGGTGCGATTATATTGTTAACGAAAAAAATTTACTTATAACGGTATAATGAATCAAGAAGATGATTCGAAGAAAATATTCCTCTACCTGCTATGCAGATTGTATGTAAGGAGCCGCATACTTTCTCTTATATTAAAGAAATTTTTTTAAATCTATTTTAAAAGTAAGTGCAATTTAAATCTTCTGAGTCTATACAATTTGTATACAGTGTGATTTTAATAAAAATTGGTCGAAAGATAAATAAGAAATGTTTTTCAACACATTTATTGAAAAATAAGTAGAATTACAAAGTAATCTTGGCGTGCTGACCTCGCTATCCATTCACATAGGTGCTACTATTATTATTTGAGATAAATGCTGCATATTTTCTACAGGAACGAAGCGCGTGTACGCCTGAGGGTTAAGTAACAATGTTAAGTATTTTTAATAAATTGTACAATTATGCAACAAAATACAGTGAAAGTTAAACTCTGTGCATGTAGCTAACAGAGCTGTCATATCCCGCGGGAAAGAATTCCGTGGATATTTCTTTGGCGAACGTTTAGCAACAACAAAGTCCGAAAGCTTCGTGCCGTTGCCGGCCGCTTGCGCACGACTCTCCTTGAACGCAAAATCGGGCGCGCGAGTTCGAACCAAAGTCCCTTTCACCGACTTCTTCGCGTTGAAACAACCTGGTTGGCTGGCTGGCTCGCGAGCGGCCATAAACGCGGCCGGCCGGCTGTCGCTCCGCATGCGAAGGTGCAAACTTATCTAGCGATCTAGTAAATTGAAGGTAACATAACACTTCGCAGGACATTCTTCAGAAGATCCTGGAAAATGCGCGCCAGATCCTGTCGTGATTTTCGAGCGCGAGTAATGCACCGGCCATTGTCGTGTGTCATGTATACAATGTTGAAAGTAAAATAAATATTAAATAAAATATTTTTTATGAAGTATTTTAATCTTATAGATATTTTTTTATTCAACAAATGGATAAAAAATAATACGATTTAATTAGTTAATTAGCGAGCAAAATAATTTTTACACATTTAATAGTTATAATTGTAACAAGTTCTAAAAGTAAAATAACATGAAGTAAAGAATGAATTCTAGTAGAATGCATTACAATCGCATATTTATTGCGCCATTATTCTTAGGTAAGCCGTTAGAGTAGTAACGCATGCTGCTAGGCTGCAATTTCAGCATTACGCGAAACCGACATACGGCTGACCCTCTTCTTTTTCTTGACAGGATGCGGGAGTACGTGGAAGAGAACGAGAAGAATGATCCACTGATACACGCGCCCGACAAGAAGAACAATCCCTGGGCCGAGAAAGGCAAGTGCATAATCATGTAATCAGGACCAGAGCGGAGGAAGGGCAGCAGAAGAAGAAGGAAGCGTACATACAAACCGAGGAGGAGAGGAGTCGGTCATTTATTCGCAATAAGAAAAATCTTAGGCAGAGATTACGAAAAAGAGTAGGAGAATGAAGAGGAGGAAGACAAGTAGGAGGAAGAGGAAGAAATGCTGGGGAACGTCTGCTGCGTTTCGATCGCGGATCTACTCGATCGTCTAAGGATCGTCGACCGGCCGCCGAAATGGGAACGCATCTACGATTGATTTCGCAATGGACGAGATCCAGCAGAGTCGAATCGTTTATTGGACCGTTCCGTTCCTCCAGGACTATTTTTCCATCGCGCGGCGTGCGGCTTTCGACGCCAATTTTCAATTATTCGCATCGTTCTACGAAATATATCATCATCCTTCACTGATCGTGCCATTCGCGACGTAGTCGTTGCTCGTAAAGATATTTCGAAGCTCGAAATCAGTGCGTCGACCGGCTCATGGACACAAAATGAAAGGAAGAAGAACATAGGCATAAGAAAGAAATGAGTTGATGATTCGGTTGTGCGTTTTCGTCGTTTGATCGATTGTATCAAACGATTAATCATAATTCGTGTTCGAATTTAATCATTTTCACGTTCACAAAGTACCAAAGAAAAGTAGAAAAACAAAGAATCAAATGGAAGAAGAAAAAAATAAAGAAACCTATCACTTCCGCTTGGCAATCGTCTGGACCGAATCAAGCCGCCGCATGTCACGCGACGTCGTTGCACATCTAACTCGCCGATGCACTTGCCGTATAAAAACTCGCCCCATTCACGATCTATCATGAGAATGCAATTTACCCTAACTAATTTTACATATATATATATATACATATAAATATATATATAACTTATTATATAAAACACACAGTTATTCCTATGATGATTATAATTACTGTTGTATGTACCTCTGTGCAAATTTCTTACGAAAATATAACAAGACCAGCGACAGAAATCCAAATCCTGTTCTCTGCTTTCGTTACTCGTCTCAGGGAAATGGTTACACGTGAAACATCACATCCAATGTCAATTTAACATTTGATTTTAATGGAATCATCAAACGCAATCAAAATCCCTGTCACGGTATTCCATTTAATTTTCTCTCTTATTGTTGCCTGACTAGTTGCTATCTGTTTCTACTGACTTTTATGACGTGCGGCGCTCGAGATTCTGAAACAACTGGATTTTTTAAATTTCTTACAAATCTACCTTTTATAATAAGATCTGCTACTATAATATGATATTTTATAAATGTTCTGCTACTAAAATTCATGATGCATATACGAGATTTTGCAATTACTAAATTTACTTGAATTTTTCATTAATCTATATATAATATATATGACGAGGTGTTTTATCGTATTGCTATTTTTATATACGAATAATTGATACAATGTGAACACATTTTGTTTAACAATTACTATTATAAAATAGACGATAATATTAACACGAGAATCTATCAAAAATGTTACAAATTTTTTAATCAATTTATATAAGAAAAGTACATGTATATTATTATGTGTAAAAAAAAATCTCTAAATAAATTAATAAATTAATTCTTAAATATATAATATATCAAACCTAAAATATGTGATATATGATATACATATACATAGAAATCGCCGCTTGCAGATTCGAAGTTTATAATGTTTATTTCTTCTTTTGCAAAATCGTTGAAGCAATAGATCGTTTCACAAGGAACCTTCTAGAAGCTGATAGAATGTTTATGTAAACAGTAGCAGATCATACTAGCTAATTGTAAGAGCAAGCATCGATGTTTTGTCAAAACCTAACGATAAATGAATCATTATCGAGAGTTAAAATCGAGCGGTAAATAGTATCGTGAGTACTGAATGTTATGAGAGTCTTATTCTTCTTATTTGTATTTAATCTTTTATTTATGACTAGTCTGAAAACTTTTAAAAATATACATATACATATACATATTGAATCGCAAACACATCGTTTGTAACAATTCTTTACACAATCCAATCCCGCTTTACACATTTTTATTTTTACTTTTTCAACACCACGGATATTATTACAAAAATGAAAACACTTAAAATGCAAATATAAATTAATAAATCTATAAAGTTTAATTTATGAAATTATATTTAAAAAAAATTTTTTGATTGCTTTTATTATGACACCAAAGATGATTTTAAATTAGCTGTTTTATGTTCCCTTTTTACATGTTTTATGTATTCCTTTTTTAATGTAAAATCTACAGCGTATCTTGTTTCAAAACCTGTGGTATAATTTAAAAACTGTGCGAAAATACCATCAACAAAACACACCACAAGTTTTTAGACATAATACTTGATCCGTCCAGCACTACTGCCGTCTTAAATTTATCGAAATCTCATTCAAACGTAATTTATCTAAACCTCATTCAAATGATAGAAGAAGCTCGCAATTAGTTGCGCATCGTAATCGCCTTCGGACACTTTAAATCAGGGGTTTCCACACAGTCACGAGCGCATTGGGTAATCCACATTGACACGCGGAAAGAAACGTGGGAAATAACGTATAACAAATAACTCTCCGCAGAAGTAATTTTCGAAACCCGATAGTCGCGCTTATTACGACCGGCGGAAAGGGAAAGGGTTAATGACCGTTTCGCGGTTAAACTGCAACGCGCGCGCGGGTTGTCCGAGCAATTTGTATTTCTTTATAACGTTAATTATGTAGATACTTACGGATCGTTAGGATCGCCTAACGGTTGAGAGAAAGGAGTAATGAAGTATTTTCAGATGGCATATGAAAATTCTTGCACGAATGTAAATAAGGGACAAGGAAAAAAATGAAAAGCGTTGAAGACATGCGAGGGAGAATCGCAAGAGTCACTTTCGCTTTTTAGATGAGCGAGAAGATCCACAAACGAACGGCGCGTGCTCTCGCGACAATTAGCGCGACGCAAATAAGGATCCTTTTACTTTCGTTTCCTTCCTGCGAGTCATTGTGTGTGATTAATTCACGAAATGATTTAACGTAACGATAGAGCTCGTTACAAAGCGCAAACATTGAAATGTGAGCCAGTAAATGAATCGAATATTCTGAATACAAAAGAAGAATACAAATGAGACAAATTTTGAAGACCAAGTGTTGCTTAACGCATCATACACTTTTGTACTTTGGTTCTTAAATCATGTGATCGATTATTATATTACATTGCAGACGAAGAAAATAATGTTGCATTTTTTTCTATAATGCGTAAAACGACAATGAATCTTTTCGTACGCGTCCACAGAATATCTTCAAAAGATAGAAAACATTTGAAAAAAATATACTCTGGAAGTGATTTGCTGCTAATTTTTTTCCTCAACTTTCTTTTTTTACTTTTTAATTACTAACCTTTTGGCATAAATAATTACAACGATGCGATTTATCAAAGCAGACTAGTAATCAAGCACTTACACGGAAGCTCATTAAGCATGAGTATCTTCCGCATTCATAATATATACATTTGCTTATGCGTTATTATTGTTGGTTCGGTTAAAAAATTTTATTATATTTTAAGAATAAAAAAATATTAGCAACCAACATTGCTAATTTAATTAAATCAATACCTTTATTTGGTAAATATTTTAAGAAGCAATAATAAATAATTAAGAACCTTGATTATATGAATAAAAGCATGTTCTATGAACTAATGATAGAATAATGTTACAGTGTATCTTTTCTCCATCTACTATCATTTTGCAACAATTACAGTGAGATTTTCACGACGAACGACAATTTAATACGCCTATACTTCTCACATGTAAATACAATTGTCGACTTTCTATATATTTACTCGCGGGAAATCACAGCATTGCCATAACCGCCGATTCCAAGTTGATTTCAGAAGACGATTATTTACGCGCAACATGTGAATTATTTATCATACGTAACTGTTGAGCCGAATAAACGCACGATTGCTATCGACAATTTGCTGGAACATTTCCTTAATTATATCGCAAGTGTTGCAACATTTAAATAATCGATCGATTACGTGTGTAGCAGTTACATTACACTTGGCCGATCATGTTTTACGTTAGAGTACATGCGCTTACAAAGTTTATCAATTTTTTCCTATTGTATTATGCATTATTTTTTGGTTTCATTTCTCCAGTAATCGGTATTGCGAACAACTTTTGATTTATTAGAATTGTAATTAATTTTAACGTAATTGTTCTTTATTTCAATTTTGATGTACTGTCAAAAAAGATGACTGTGTTACAGAATATATAATGATCAATATCCACATAGATTGACGGCGAAGCCGGCTTTTGCCAACGCCGATCTTTCGCACTGTCCTGCGCCACCGATTTTAGCTACAGCGCATGCTGTCACACTTACTATACGCAAAATGAAAGGCGGCTTTAATTGCCGTCGCGACTACGACGACGACGTCTTCGTCGTCGCCGTCGTCATCGTCATCTGGAAGTATGCTGTGAAAATGTGCGGCGTATTCAAGAGAGAGAGAACGAGAGAGAGGGTGTACCTCAGGAAGGAAGAGGGAGAAAAGGTGAAAGAAAAAGAGAGAGAAAGGAAAAGAGAGAGAGCTGTATAGCTAAAGAGAGGGAAAATGAAAGAGAGTAAGAGAGAGAAAGAGAGAGAGAGAGAGAGACTGACAGTAGGCTCGTTCGCTACAGCAGTCAGTGTTTCCCGAACTGTTGTCAGTGACAGTTCTCCGATCATGCGGCGGCGGATCTTCAATCACTGATCCGTATCAATAACGAGATCCCTCTTTTTTTTATGCGATCTGCCCACGATCTTGTCGCGTTGTTGAGTTTTCTATTTACACGGGGTACTTTTCGGCAGTTTTTGCGCGGTGCTACAAATCACGGAGCGTTATTGTTATTGTTATTTTGAGTAATTGGAATAACCATGGTGAGTACAATTTTATTACATATTAATTATTAATTATCGTTAATTTGAACCTTTTTTGTAATAATTATTGTGTAATACAATTAAAAATTTTAATTCAAATATCAAGAGATAAAATCACTATTTTTTGTCTTGCTCAGAAATTAGAAAATGCTGTTAAAATATTATTTTTGCGATTATTTAAGGTGATTATAATTTTTCACAGCATTTTATAAAACTTTTTTCCGGCAAATTATGACAAATGTAAATTACTATGCTAAATTTAATCGATTTTTCGATCAGCAATTTTTGCAGCAATTTTCTAAACTTTTTCTATCTATAAACCAATTTGTTAGGTAAAAAACATCTATCTAGCGAGCAATCTATTTTGATTGCCGAACTGTCAGATCTTTGATGGAAAGAAATCCAAACTATTTGCTCCAATTTCGCGATCACTGATCGAAAAAGTTCACCAAAATCGCTCTCCCACGACGGAGAATATTCGGCCGAATATTTGACATTTAGTGTGTTCCTTTTTTACGCTGCTCTATTTTTAAAATTAGCTAATTTTTTGCACGACAAAATTATTACATAAAACTGAATTTATGCAAGATCATCGTGAAACCGGGCTGAAAAAAATTTGATTTGAGTGTGTAATTTAATACTTAAAATAATTGTATGAAATGGCGATCGGAAACTTGTGAAATTAGAACGCATATATCTGCGAATTTTTTGTGTGTTGATTGCGTTTTTTGCGATGATTAAATGTCCACAGGTTCCGTGGACAACGTTTTTGCAAACATTATTTTGCATATCGAGTTTAACTAATACTAAATTTGACCAATAAATTTGCATGTTACGACACTTACGATGCTTTCAATTTTCAATTAAGTTTCTGACACTTTATGATTATACATGTAAATACATGTAAATAATTAAATGTTTTGAATTTTTTAATCCTTGCGTTAAAGTAGAAACAGGGCGCATAAATTAATCTGCAGAATTAATTTTGCAATTTATCCCAATAATATCACGACATTATTCGATACTACTAGCACTATATTGCAATATTTTTTATTGTTTAATATTCTTTTATTAGTAGCGATGCCAAAATAATTGGACATCAATGATTCTGCGATATTAGTGCGATCGAACAATCACGTTACACGCGCGACAATACACGCATATACATCGCCAGGACCTTCGATGGAGAACTCGTTTTATCCTTCCGGGTTATATTTGTGAGTCCTCTCACTTTCGTCGTGCGACGACCTCGTCAATATTGTTTTTTTTTTTTTTTCCGTT